GCTGCCAAGCGCCACGATTGGGACCATCAGAAGTGCCTCTGGTTGATTTTTCTCTCTTTGTCCTTTTGCTGGATGCGTCTCCTGTTTCTGACCCGGGTCCTGGTCGGTGGGATGAGGGCAGAGACTTGTCACAGTGCTGCATCCACGAGGAACGGGGGTTCGGAGAGGGACCTCAAAACCAGCCCAGGCAGCGGCCCCACAAATGGCCCGCTCCTGACCCAGAGAGGCAGCGATGAAAAAAATAACAATACGGGCCATGGGCGGCTTTGTAACCGGAATGAGCGTGCTTTAAATCCTTTAATAAGGATTCATCGGAAGGAGAGCTGGTGCCAGCAGCCAGGATAACTCCAGCTCTGGCAGCACCAGGACTCTGCTTCTACGCCGCTGGTTTTTGGAAACAGGTCGGCTGCGTGCCCCTGCGGCGGCTCGTGAAGCAGCGTGAGATGACCCAAAGGAAAAGCATTTGCCAATTAAGTTTTTTGCTAATCACGGCAGCTCCAAGATGATGTGATGCCGTCGTCCTTGCCGCAACCACACGGCAACGCCAAGCCGTGACCGAGGGACGTCGTTCCCACGCCGATATTTTTGGGGGCCAGGGAAGCACGGTCGCAAAGGGAGGCAGGAGCAGAGCTGCTGTCTCCTACCGACCCTCAAAGATCAGCCAGGCTTGGACCCACCAGCTCCCAAACCCTCACCCAAGCTCACGCCGAGCTCTGCCTGTGGGAGGAATTATCAGATCCCCTAAATCTCAGCGAGATCCCCGCCCTGAAACGTCCCCGACTGCAGCAAACCGCCCGACTCTCCCGATGTGCCCAAACCTCCGCCGGGCGAGCGTAACGGGAGCCGGAGGAGAGCGCGGGGTCACGCACGGCTGAGGGTTGGCCTGGCATCACCCAGCACAGCTGCTCCACAGCCGGGCTCTTTATTTTATCCCGGTCCCACGCCGGCAGGAGCTGCGAGAAGCTGGGGAGGGCAGGAGGGTCCCCTGCCCGGCTGGGCCAAGCCCTGAGTGGGGACCCCGGGGAGGTCAAACCCCACCTCGGAGCTAACACAGCCTTTCCCGCTCCCAGTGGGATCAGCCTCCGGTGAGCCCGGGTCCCACTCCTCCTCCCACTGACAATTTTAGGTGCCCCGATGCCGGGAGCGGGAAGCGGAGCGGGGACGGGGGCTGGCACCGAGTGGCCCTCGCTGTTCCCTGTGGCGGGGCAAGGCCCGGAGGAGGAAGCCGAGCCCAAACCAGGGAGCCGAGCAATTTTCCAGCAGCTCTCCAAGGGCCTCCGGGGCCGATAATTAAAAACAAGGAGCAAGTAAACACTCCCAAAGCGTTTCTCGAGGCTGGCGCTGAGCACTGGTGGCTCCGCTGCTGAGGAAGCAGAGGTTTTCCCTCCCCGGCGCGGGCGCGGCGCGGTTACACACCAAACCCCGGAAGCCCGGCTGGTTGTGGGCACCGAGCAGCTGCCCCCTGTTCGGTGCCGTGCTGCCCATCCCCAGCACCGTGTCCCCAGACCCCCCGTCCCCTCCGGATAGTGACTGCCCGAACTGTGGGGACCCCAAGCAGCCCCGGTGTGGGCAGCTCCAGCCCCAGAGGGCAAAACTCCCTGGCCGTTTTGCTTCCGGCATCCACCGGCCTCCTCCGAGGGGAGGAAAGCAGCCGCCCCGCGGAAGCGGTGGCACCCCCCCGACCCCCTCACCCTTTTTGAACTCCTCCAGCATGGCATCCAGCTTGGTGTCGTGGAAGACGACGTGGACGGGGTGGTTGTAGAATTTGGTGATGGTTTTGAGGGGGGTGCAGTCGTCAGGGTCGACGAAAGCCAGGTCCTTGATGTAGAGGATGTCCATGATATTGGAACGCTCGTCCTCGTAGACAGGGATGCGGGTGTAGCCGCTCTCCATGATCTCCGACATGGTGTTGAAGTCCAGGATGGCGTCACTGTTGATCATGAAGCAGTTCTGCAGCGGGGTCATCACGTCCTCCACCGTCTTGGTGCGGAGCTCCAGGGCTCCCTGGATCATGTTGAGCTCCTCCCTCACCAGGTCATTGTAGGGTTCCGTCACCTTCAACATCTCCACCAGCTTCTCCCGGTTGTAGACGGTGCCGATCTCCTGGCCCAGGATGCAGTCGAGGAGCTTGCTGATGGGGTAGGAGAGGGGGAAGGTCACCAGCATGAAGAACTTGGTGACCACGATGGTGTTGGCGCCCACGGCCAAGCCGTGGCGGGAGCAGAGCGCCTGGGGCACGATCTCCCCGAAGATGACGATGCCGATGGTGGAAGCGACGATGGCACCGATGCCGGAGCCGATGAGGTCATCGAGGAGGATGGTGAGGGTGGTGTTAACCAGCACGTTCCCCAGCAGCAGGGAACAGAGCAAATAGTTCCCCTTCCGGCGGATGGGCTCGATCTTACGGGCGTAACGCTTCTCCTTATCGGTGCCGCAGTTCTGCACGATGCGCAGCTCCATGGGATCCAGCGCCATCAGGCCCAGGTTGAGCCCGCTGAACATCCCCGACAGCATCAGCAGCCCGGCGATGAGGATCACCTGCAGCCAAAGGGGCAACAGCGACTTCTTCTCCTCCAGCACCACGATCCGTCCGTCGGGGCCTTGGTGGGGCAACCAGGGTTGGCCGGGGCGGCGTTGGGTGCAGAGGACGTAGGTTTTGGCCTGCTCGTCCTTGCGCAGGGGCTGGACGCGGACGCGGAGCAGGGCCGAGGTGTCGCGGGCCTCGGCCGGGCCGGGCTGCACCAGGAGGTCCTGGG